CAGCAGTCCCCCAGCCAGAGCTGCCAGCTGGGTGGCTCGCTCACAAACCTCAGCTTACTCACCTTGGTGTCAGAGGGCCACAGCTGCGAGCCCAGCACCTGGGCTGGAGCCTCGCTGTGTGACGTGAGGCACATTTTGGATGAGCTGTGGAAATGGCACAGCCATAGCATCACTCAGAAAGCGTCTGCTGGGCCAGGGGAAACCCACACTGTGCTCTCTTTATGCTGTGAGGAGGCAGGAGAAAATCTGCAGAGCCAAAACGTGCTCTCTGCGCTGGCCTGGAGCGAGAGAGGAGGTGGGAGCCAGCCCGGGGTGCACGGCACATTTCCTGCCTGCTGCTCCTCAAAGGAGGAAAAAAGCAAAGTCTGCTGGAGAGCCCAAGTGTGAGCTGGTGAACCATCTCAGCTCCTCCTGGGTGTGCTCCTCATCCAACTCAGTTCCTGGGCTAATTGTGTCCCCTGGGGGCCAGGGGAGGTTTCCCTTTCCCTTTCCCTTTCCCTTTCCCTTTCCCTTTCCCTTTCCCTTTCCCTTTCCCTTTCCCTTCCTTCTTTCCCTCCTATAGGCAGCAAGTCGTCCTGCAAGTTCTGGTTAGCCAGGACACCCTGTGTAATCTCAAAAAAGTCACTCTCATCTTTAATGGTGAAGTTCCACTCAGCACTTCCATTCTGGAAAGGCTGAAAGTGAAGGTTGGTGGAGCTGTGCCTGTTTTTTGGGGGCTGAATACTCCAGTGAACAGTGAGGAGAGGAGGAGTTTGTTTAATGTTTCCAGGGAAGGGAATCCTATCCCTCCTCTCAAGACACAGCCTTCTTTTAGCTCCCTAGGGGCTTTACAGGGTAGGAGCAAGGCTCTGCCCAGCCCTGTGACCCTCCAGGCATGCATTTTGTCATTGGAAATGTTCAGGCTCCTTACCATCCCTGTCGTGCTCAGAGGATGGCAGAGTTTTCACAGTAAAATGTTGCACTGCACAGGTGTGAAGGGTGCTGTGAAGGGAACCCAAACCTGTCAGGTAAGAGCGCTGCTGGCTGGCTCTGAGGGCATTTGCTGGGGTGAGAGTTCAGCTCATGCCTCTCTGTGTCACTCGAGCTTTGGTCTCCCAACCTAAACATGGAATATCTGTGCTAATTGCAGGACAGAAGCTCCTTTCTAAGGATTTCCCTCTCTTTGCTGTGAGCATTAGGACAGTTTCACCTACTGTTAGCTCTGGAGACAACAAAGAAATGACAATTTGGGGGGTGAGAGGCAAGAACCAGTTTGGTACAGATGGGAAGAATGGCCTTCCCCGTGGTGAATTTGATGCTCTTGCTGTGTTGTGGGGATGTGGGAATGGTTCAGGATGTGTCTCTGTTAGCATTCAGGAACACATAATCACAGAATGATTATATAAAGGTGCTTTATTAAAGAGCTCTGGGTGTCAGGGGTACACAGACCCAAATCTGACCAAATTTGGTTTTGAGCTGAACATATTTTTATACTCTATTGTTATACAACTTACATATTAATTATTAAACTTACATTGTTCTATTGTATACATTGATTTTACCCGAGCATGGATTTCTTGTGATCCCCCTCAAACCCCTAACATAGTTTCTCATGAGTCTTTAAACATTATTGAAACATTTATTCATGATTCTTTAAACAATAATTATATCTAATCCCATCTAACAATTATATCATTTATCATACACTGACCACACAGGTGCAGTTTGACGTGATCTTAGCAAGCACAAGGCCTAACATTTCCCAGGGCCTACCTTTAACACTTTTCCCAGGGCTTGCCAAGCCTAACTTTCTTTCTAACTCCCTGAATTTTCTATGATTTTAAAATCTTTTACTGTCATCTCTGGAGTGGCAGCTGAGGACACTGCAGTGACAGTGGTGGGACGGTGCTGCTCGGCAGTGAGCACCTGCACCACGTCAAATAAAAAGAAAGTTAATTTTGGGACGCTCAATAATAGAAATGGCTTCCTTTTGAAAAGCAAAATACAAAATAAATAGCTCAAAGGCTTTTTCCAGGGGGGGGATCACAGCTCTGCCATCACAGCTGCTTTGGGAAGAAGACACTCTGAGGCTGGAGCAGCAATAACCCAAGTGGCCACCACTGTCTGCTGAGCCCCAAGGGCTTTGTGGTGCCCAAATGCAAATTCTCAGAGTGTCTGAGCACAGCAACCAGGGCTGCCCCCTCCCCAGGGGGATGATTTACACTGTATTTCTAGAGCACAGACTTACCTCAGCATTAGACTGTAAATTTTGCAGGAAAAAATAATTGCTAAACCTGCCAGAGCCCCAGTCTCGACAGAGACTTCCAGGTTCTTCTAATGTGATTTTTTCTGAGGGAGAAACTGCAGGCTGAGGTCTCCAAGAATGCACTACAACCCAAAATATAAAAGTGCTTTGACTCTTATCACAAGCAGTCCCACCCTTGCCCTGCATTATCAAACTTTAGAGCTTAGCAAAGAGCACTTGCAGGGCCTTTCCTCACTGTGATAAGATACTGATATTAAAATTGTGCTTGATTTAGGGATTTTATTTCTGCATGTATTATTTTTTTTTCCTGATATCTTACATGTGCAGTCATAAACCAGGATTTGGGTTATTCCAGTCCTGGAAATATTTTTAGGTCTGGCACAAAGGGTCTGTCATTGTTAAAGCAAAAGTGAGGTTGTGGCTGGAGTGGCAGTCCTGGTGGTGAGGGCAAGGACTACCAAGGGAGTTCCCTAAATTGTTACAACCGTGGATTTAGGCATGTTATAACCATATTTACATAAATATAACATTTACAGGCATTTACAGGTGGCTCCTGTTGAAGGATGCAGAGGGGCACCCAGCACAATTTAACTCTGCATTCTTCAAAGCTCAGGTTTCCAGCAGCAAACCCCAGGAAAACTCTGGGATCTCTGACAATTTATTGGATTCAAAGCTTCAAGTGATGGAATTCCAAAGTTCCTGTCAGTGAAACTCAACTGAGCAAGAAGGACACAAACTTTACTTTTCACGATGCAATTTTCCCAAAGCAAAATTGGGTGTTTTTTTTGTGGAATTTTGATGGAAAGGTGACTTGGAACACAGAGTTTGGGATGCTTTGGCAAGGGAATATCAAAGTCATGGTAAGAAAAGAAGGAAAAAAAGCTAAAATACCACAAGAACCTCCAGCTGCTTTCAGCTTTAGGTGGTTCATCCCTCCTACCTTTTTTCTTAGCCTGGATTCTTCAATGTTTTCCATCCTAAAAACCTAGGGGATGCTAAGATCCAGTGGAGATTTGTAATTCCTTCCTGAATAACGTCACTACCTCTTTTTATTTGGTCGTGGATACATAGGCTAATAATTTCTGTAGCTAATGGAATGACTGAGAACAAGAATTTTGTTCTCTCTTGTCTAATAAATCTTGCAAAACAAAGTTACATATATGCTGTAGGTATTACTTTTAATATTTAAAACTGTTGTAGCCACATCGTGGGAGCTGTCTGGCATTAGAAGAATTTTCCAAAGGGCTGTTAAAATGAAGGAAAAAAGTGCCTTCAAAAAACAAACACCACTTTTTGCTTCATATAATAAAGCAGTGAAATTTAAAATGGCACTAGAATAATTATGATTCCTTGCTGTAAATCTGCACAGATTTGGCTCTCTTTGAATATTTTTTTTTTATGCTATAAGGATTAGTTTACTGTCTGTGGACTGGATCCTTCTTGCATTACATGTGATTAAATCTGTGGGGCCCAGTGGCCAGAAAAAAGGACCCATTAAAAAAGTTCAGCCCATTCAGCTGCAAAGTCATCTTACACATAGTTTCCCCCTAACTGCTTTTGTGTATTTTATTGCCAAATATGAATCTGCAGGACATGTCCTGGTCTGGAATCTCATTCCCTTAGAGCAGTCAGCTGTTCTGCAGCCTTTCTTAGTGGCTGGTACATGTGGAAGTTGGGATCTCTGATCCATATCTCTATTGTATGCAATAATTTCCATCTTTATTTTACGTGCCTTGTATGTTTCCACGATCAGTCTTTATCTGTCTGTCCATTTTTGAAGATACCTGCATAATTTGCAAAGTTATCAGCAGTGTGAGATGACTAAAGCACGAAGACAGAAAATAGTTTAATTTATTGATAATGTTCAAAGACAGTGCAAATATTGGTCATATTAAGGAGATGTGGGGTTGTTCTCATAGTAAATGACCCAGGTTTAATGTTGTGATGAGTAGTTGTAGAACAATAAACTAAACCTGTGTGTCCAAGCAGTCCAGCTTGCCAAGGATCATCATCAAAGTTTCGAGTCTCTTTAAAAGTTATTTTTCAGAACATGGCTATTCTATCTGTAACTTCTCTTGTACTGTTTGAGATGGAATCAGGCTGTGAAGCCTGCCAACTCATCCTTTATGTGCCTTTCCCACTGGTGTCTCTCTGCAGAACCAAGCTTGCACAGCAGAGTGTTTCTGTTGCCTTTTACATGTGGTCCTCGTTAAAAAAAAAAAAAAAAAATAAAAAATTGCAATGAATTTTAGCCGCGGCACAATTATTTATCTGATTTTAAAAAAAAAAAAAAGGTGCAAAGAGTAAATATGTTTACAGTATCCCTTTCCACCCAGCGCATTTCCTTTTTTTAAGCTCCGTTTGTGCTCAACAAGACAGCCTCTTTCTCCAAGATTAACATTTCTTATGATTGTTCCTGACAGAGGATTTACTTTCAGAGGCCCCGCTAAGGATAACCAAAAAAGGGCATGTAGCAAGACACTTTTGGCAGCTCGCACGAATTTTCGGAGCTTTTTTAGCTCTTGGTTTTCTGATGAGTGGCTTCCTGAGCATGCCTGGGGAATGACAGGCATCTCTGCAGGCAGGCTGGACCCACCTTGGCTTGAGCGCATCGGAATAAAGCCAGGACAATGCATTCCTGCCAATTGTAAACATCGGGGATATGTATCCACTTAGCATTGACTTTTTGGGAGGGGCCAAGGGAAAGCTGCGCTTTTATTGAATAGGGCTGTGTGTGTGTGTGTGTGTGTGTGAGGCTGCTAATGTGCCTTTCTGCTGCCCGAGCCAGCCGGGCTTTATTCATTTCCTTCCTCCGAGCTGGGAACTTCGCAGCCCGAGGTAAGGAAGGGCTTGCGGGATGTGTTTGCTCGGGAGGCAGCCCCTGGAGCAGCATGCGGGACAGAACGAGCTGTCGGAGGCTTTTTGCTCTCCTCCTTTCTCTCCTTGCCCCCCTCTTCCCCTTTCCAGATGTTCCTGGTGAGCTACGGGACATCTCGGGTGGAGGGTGGGATGCAGGGCTGGTCCCACCGCTTCATCCTTGGATGGGCTTCTTAGTGAGGCAACAACCTACCTATCCTTTCTTTATTTTTTTCTTCTCCCCTCCCCTTTATTTTCATTTATTTTTTTTTAAGGACTCGCTCTGAGAAAACTTTTAAGGTCTGTTGCATTGCTTTTAATTTTGCAACTCAATACGTGGAGTTGCAGGGCAGCCCGACTGCAGGGGCAGTGCCGGGGTGTAAGTGATACAGACACAGCAAAGCTCTGGTTAATGTAAGCGATCTGATGCTCGCTGAAGCAGATGTCCCTCGTGGCAGCCTTTCACAGAAGTATTGTTGACAATAGATGGAATCAGTTTTTTTTTTGTTTTCAGCCCTCCAACACGCGCACTGCCGGGGTTTTTCTTGTGGAGTTGCCTTCCCTGTTAAAAGAGGGGATGAGGAAAAGCTCCTGGGTGGGACTGGAGCTCTTGGAAGCCTGTGTTTGTCAGAGCTGGATAGCAGGCTCTCCTTCCCAGCCCTTTGACATGTTGGGACACTTGCATTGTGCTGGTAGCATGATATTCTGCCCTAGCAGGGAAACTTCTCAGGGAAAAGGCTGGGAAAATGAAGGGAGGGAGGAAGTTAGCTGCAGATGAATTCTTGGTAGCTGCAGATGAATTCTTGGTAGCTGCAGACACTGACCAAGCTGCCAGACCTGCAGGGATAGAGTAGATTTATCTCACATGTCAAATGTTGTTCGGAAGAATGAAAACACAACTGTTTTAAAATGACTTTTTTTTTTTTTTTTTAATGGGCTATTTGTTTTCTGAGGAGAATTTTTTTTTCAGAGTATGTAGTTTTTGTACAGTTTTGCCTGAGAAAGGCTTCCCCTGCTAAAGGGCAGACAGGAGAATAATTTGGGAAAATAACACATTCCCTCCTTGGCAGCAGCTCAAAGAAAATAAGGAAGGCAGAGTGGGTTTTTTTGTAAGAACCATGTATTTATTGTAATTTGTCTATTTTAGATACCATACTGTGAATGATTGTGTTTGTATGATTTGCCATTGGAGAACCCTTGGGCTCTGTCTCATTAAATGTAGCAGTACATTCTCATCTGCAGCAAGTCTCACCTTTTTCTCCTGCCATTTAGACAGGATGGGAACCCTAAAGCCACACACACCAAAATCAATGGAAAATACTCTTTTAACGTTAATTGCAAATGGAGCAAAACTTTTAGTCCATTTGTTTTATTAAATTAGCCTATAAGGTAAAGCAGGGCAGAACTTTTCTCAATGTATTTGAAGAAATGCTAGGTCTGCCTTTTTATGGGGAAGCTGCTTTGGTAGGCAATCTTAATAAAACCTGCAGATGTTAATGGAGACTCTAAATCATGATGGCAGGGAAGAAACACCACATGAGCTGTCTGCAAACAAGAGGCTCAATCGAATTAATTTGTTTTTCCTGAAAACTCCTCTTTGTTGCCACTTGCAATGACAAGAGGATAAATTCCACAGCCTTCATTCACAGGATTAGTCCTGGTGAAATCAACACCATCATTAATGGATTCAGGCTCTGATGAGAGAGGAGTCCTGTGTACTCTGAGTACACTTTGACAGTGAGTGATGTAAACACGTTTTAGGAGCATGGGGGATTTCTACAACTGCTTCTTCACATACTCACAGCAATATTCTGACATGGAGCAGCCTGAGAAAGGGGTCACTTCCCCTGTGCTTTTAATTCTTGTCCAACAACGCACAATGGAATAATGACACTGAAAGATAGGTGAAAAGCAAAGTGGGGAAGGGTGTAAGTTCCCCTGGCTGGCATTAGGGGGAAAACTGAAGTGCATTTAGGTGGGAAGGTTTTTTTACTGGTCTCATTCATGGGGCCACGTGTGACACAGAGCATCTGTTCAATCCCACCCAGGATTAGGGTGTCCAGGTGGGGAGACCACAAAGGCAAGGCTTTTCTCTTGGCTGCCTGCTAGGACGTGGCTTCTGTCCTGTGAAGATGCCAGGGAGGCTCCATCAGGAGCCTGACTGGAAGTCCTCCTTGTTTCACACTTCCCTTTGCACAGCTGGAGCAGCCCTGCCTGTGGGGGTGATCTTTTCATTGTAGAAAAGTGAGAGCCCGCAGGACTTCCTTCCTGCAGGACAAACGGGACTTGAATGTTCTGGGACTGTGGAAAACACTCTGATTTCTCAGTAGTGTTGCTTACATGAGACCTATTCTTGCAGGCTGCCTGAGTTTTAATTTGTATTAAAGATCAGTGGAGTTCTTAACCCCTGTCTGCCAAGGGTGCAGCTGGGAACATTTGATCCCAGTGTGTGAGCGAAGAGGGACAGGAAACCATATATGCCTAGGAATGAGAGGGCCAAGAGATCATAACTGTCCATCTGCAGGGCTCCTCTGGACTCTCCTGGCTGTGGGAGAAAGCACCAAAAAAGGTAACGGGGCAGAAGGGGAAGTGCAGTCCTTGGTTGCCTTTGAGAGGAGCTTTCCAGGGAGTTTGCAGGATTGGGCTCCAGGTGTGCAAAGCCCGAGGCACGCAGCGACTGCAAAGAGTGGGAGCCTGCCTTCAAAGAGAGCTTTCATTCTTGAAAAATTGTCTCCTCTCAGTAACTACCCCCTGGCAGCCTGTAATGGGAAAGGTGCTGCCTGACTGCTTTGGGAAAGGTGCATGTGCAGGGGATGGTTTGCTGGCTTTGTGGTTAAATGGGTGAGATTTGGGGATTTGGATTTGGGGAATGAATTCCCTGCTGGAATGAATTCACCTACCCCGTGCGTAGGCACCTCCTCTTGGGGTGCTGCTCTTGCTTGGAAGGTGTGGCTGCTGCTTGTCAAGGGTTTGGCTGAGGCTGAAATTTGACTCAGAGGCATTTAAAGGTCACGTTAGATCTGACCTCTCTGGATGAAACACTGAGGTCACAGGACAGTTGAACTATATAAGATTTTTTTTCTCTTTCCTGATGCTTTTGTACGTTCAACCAGCCCAGCGGGGAAGGACGCTCAGTACTCTGTAATTTGGGATCCCTCCCACCCCCGGGGGAGCTTGCTCCTACATTTCTTGAAACAGATTTGACCCAACCAAAAACATTAGGAAATGTTACTGAGCTGGTATTTTAGCTGTTTGGTTTCCATCCTGTATTAAGGAAGTGCTCCTTCCCATGCATTTTCCACCACAAACTGATGTCTCTCCCTCTTCCTGCCCCTCAAGAGGGGAAAACTCTGTCCACGAAGCATTGGGGCACCTCCTGACCAGAAAATCTTGGGTTGAAGGCAAGAAGAATTGCTTGTGGGGACTGTCCTGCTGGCTTGCAGTGAGGGCAGGACCAAATAGCTGAGGAAGCAGGTGAAAGAAAGGGAAAAAAGCAGCAATATCTTAGGCCACTGGAGTAATTTCTCCTTTGAATTTTTTCCTGTGGTCATAAATACCTGGTGAGTCACTTAATGGCCGTGTGTCTGTTTCTCTATCTCCAAGTAAAGGATAATCTGTGCCCTTCTGTATTTAGCCCATGGGTCTGCTGGGGCTTAGTTCATTAGTGTTTAGAAAGAATTTGCAAGACCAAAATGCCAGGTTTAGGCACTGGCTACAACCTTATTTTTGACTGATTGCCCAGATCACCTTAGACTTTTTTTTCTTGGTGTATTCACACAGATATGTATTTGACTTCTAGATTATGGGTATAAAACCACTGAAGCCCAGGGAATGAGATGGACCAGGCTGAGTGGTGACACTGCTGTCACGTCTAGAGGGCATTTCCTGTGTGCTCCAAGATGGAATTGTTTGTGCTGCATCTGGACCCATCTTCCTGTGAATTTGTCATGTTCCAAAAAATGCATGAAGGCAGCTTTTGCTTACAGATCCACCACAGTGTCATGAGCTTGGAAGGAAAACTGCTGGGCAAGCTGCTGGACCTTATCTGCTTGCTCAGTCTCATGTTGATGAGAGCAGTTGAAATTGTAACCCCTGGGGCCAGGCCAAGCTGCAGTGGGGAAAATATTAGGGAAAGATTTCAGGCAATGGAAACATGACATGTTTCCACACCCTCTTGTGTACAGAATACAAATAAAGAGCATTTTCCCTTGGGACTTGCTGTGGAGGGTGTGAAGCAAAGTGGAACCCACCCTGTTTGCACATTTTCTGGTTTGTGTCCTTAAATGGCAAAATAAAAACCCCAACAAAACAAAAAACTTTGGAATTTAGCTCATAGAAGGGTTATAAATAGATTTGTGGAGATAAAGTTTTGCTGTAAATGCTCTGGGTCTGGGATCTATTCAGAAGGGTAAATTTGCAGGCCAACAATTATGAAGATTTTTGCTAAATTATAATTATCGCTAAATGCAGGAAGACAGAGTCACTGTCACACCTATGTGTGACCTTCCCAATCTTCCCTCAAGCATGTGGGGACCTAAGGGGCATGGAAATCCCCTCTGAAAATTAAATTACTTGGGGTGAGGAAGAACGAGTGCTCACCATTGGTCTGAACCTGTGACAAGCTGTGCAAACAAGGGGACTGAGATTTGCTGTTCTGTGTCCTTGTCCAAAGGAGCTGACTTTGCCTAGGGAGAAGCAGAGCAGGGCTGGACAAACCCTCACCCAGGAGCAGCAGTTCCTGAGCTCCTTCAGAAGCCAAGGTTCCATCCTGCAGGCTTGTGCCCCTTGGATTCCAGTCATCTTCAAAGGGAGCTCTGCCCAGATGAAGCAGTCTGTGATCAGGCCATTGTTTGTTTCTTATTTGCAAGGCTTTGATGTTCTCTCTTGTCTTTCTGACTGCCACAGGGCATGTTAGTACCCTTTTCCCACTTCATTCTTTTCTCTGACAGTGAGCTCTCTAATGGTGAAATGGCCCTCACTTG